AGAGAAAATTCCAGAATTTTCTCATGGAATAGAGTGAGCAGTCATTCAGGATAATAAAACCCTGTCCTTGCCCCTCTGGCAAGATTTTCAGTGAGCAATTTCCCCCTTCTCCTCAATGGAGCTTAAACTATCTCATTTCCAGTTATTAATGAATGATGGAAAGAACCCATCTACTGTGCTTAGGGACTTGACCAGAGAAATCTCAGCAGAGGTAAAATAGGTTGATCCCAGAATGCCCATGTTGCTTCTGTTAAATTTATGTATCCTTGCACATAGGGAAAAGCAGCTTTACATTCTTTACAGTATGTAAAGAAACAAACACTTTTAAGACAAGACAAAAGAGACCACAGAAGGAAAATACACACATTTTAAATTCAGTGTGTATTGGTAGTTCTCCTGGCAAAGTCAATCATTCTCAAGTTCCCCTTAATTTCAACTGAGCTTTTTGTTCAGTACAGATGCATGAAGTATATATACCTGCTATTATAATCAAAACAGTATGGTATTGGAACAAAAATAGACTCGCAGAACAAGAGGATACAATTGAGAACAGAAATAAACCCACACATTATATATAGACAGTTAATCTATGGCAAAGGAGCCAAGAGTATACACTAGGAAAAGGAAAGTCTTTCAAAATGGTGTTAGAAAAACTGGACAGTTACATGCAAAAGAATGAAACTAGACTACTAACACCATACATAAAAATTTACTGAAAAATGGATGACAACCTGGATGTAAGACCTGAAATCGTAAAATATATAAAACAGGTAAAATACCCCATTATCTGGGCTTTAGCGATGTCTTTGTGGATTCACAGGAAGAGAACAAAAGAGAAACAAACAGTTGAGACTATATCAAACTGAAACACTTCCGTGCCATAAAAGGAACAGTAACTAAAACAAAAAGACACCCATCTGAATGAGAGACAATATTTGCACATCATAAACCTGACAAGGGGCTGATGTCCAAGATCTACAAAGAACTCATACAACTCATCAAAAAGAAAACAAAGACCCAATCAAATAATGAGTAGAGGAGCTAAACCAAAAACCCTAATCCAAAAAAGAGACACAGATGGCCAAGAGGCAGATGAAAACAGATGCTCAGCATCACTTAGCGTCAGGGAAACACAAATCAAAACCACAATGAAGATGCCATCTCACACTTGTGAAAATGGCCCATATCAAAAAGACCAAAAATAGCAAGGGCTGGCAAAGATACAGAGAAAATGGGGCTCTCTTTTGCAGGCAGTGGGAATGTAGGCCTGTCTAGTCCCTGTGGAAAACAGTATGGAGGTTTTGCAAAATATCAAAAAATAGGCCTGCCATATGATGCAGCAACTCCACCCCTAGGTATCTACCTGGAGTCTGCAAAAACACTAATTTGAAGGAACGTATGTGCAAGTTCATTGAAGGACTAGTCACGACAGCCAAGTGTGGCCATAGCTTAAGTGCCCAAAATCAGACAGCAGATCAGAAAGCTATGGTCTGTACACACAATGGAATCCTACACAGTTAATAGAAACAAAAAGCCACTGCCATCTCTGGCAATTTAGACAGAACTGTGACAACTTCAATGGAAGTGGAGAGAGTTATGCTACACAAAATAAGTCAAAAAGAGAAAGACAAATACTGGATGGTGTCACCTATTTGCAGAATCTAGAAAATCAAAACAAAGGGTCAGATAAAACCAAACGTGTAACAAACCCTAGAAATCTGACCGGAGAGCAGAGACTGCCAGAGGGGGAGGGGGAGTGAGAGGGAGAGAGCACAGTGGACTATGGTAGAGCACAGTGGTGTCTGGGTAGTAGATGTGCTGACATAACCTGAAAGGTGTTTTCCTATACCTCTAAATCACATACCGATGCTACCTCGCAAAAATTTAAACACTTAAAAAAGAAAGCATTTATGAATTTTTTTAATTCTTTAACTACAACACCACATAGAATTGGAGATTGTATGCTTTGACCTTTATCTAAAAGACTGCTGTGAGCATGAATATTTAAAAGAATGAAATAAAGATCCCTAGTTCAAATAAATTAATTATTGAAAGTGATATTAGAAGCACCATTTTAGACACTCAATTATTGATTTGTATTATGCCTTCAATGTGGTAACCTTGGGCACAAAACTGGCCTTTACTGTACCATTACTTAATATGTCATAAAGGCCCTTGGCAGATGCTACAGTTGGAGGCAGAAATTGACTTGCATATGTCAACTGGTGATAGTGGCATTTTAGCATTATCTGAATCATGCTTTGAAAGTTCCCGGGGGCCTCCCTGGTGAGGAAGTGCGTTACAGCACAGCACTAAAAAGCTAAAGCCGGCCCTCCCTGGTGGCGCAGCGGGTTAAAGCACAGCACTGAGAATCTAAAGCCGCTTCCACATGAGTTCGATTCCCGCCTGCCCCGGAGGTGACC